CTTAGCTTCAAGAGTGACTCAAAGTGCTTAGAATTTCACTTTGATTTTAGTGTCCACCACCTCCTCCATGGAAAGCACCAGGTTTGGGAGTCTGAAAGTGTTTGAAAGTGTTTTACTGCTTTGGGGCAATGTTTCAAGCTCCCACTTCTTGCTAGATCTTGTCTGAGACAAGAGCAACCTCTTTAGAACAATCTCCTTGATTCATATAATTCAACCTGGAAACCCGGCACTTGCTGCTTTTTCAGTGTGTCACCTGATGAGAGATGACAGTAGATGTACCGCAGCCACGGAGAGGCTTCACTGCCTGTCTTTTTGACATATTGAGCTAACACATAGGCTGTCAGTTTTGTTTTGCAATGCTATAATTACTTATACTCAAATCCTGGAGAAAGATGAGATGCATTTCACATTGTAAGCTAAACTTGGAGTAATACTACATTTATGGGAGATGGAAAAAAACTGAAAATGTAGTAGAGGCCTGTGCCACTGGGTGGGTGGGCAGGGGCGAAAACCGTTTCATTAGGAAAAAAAAAAAAAAAAGGCAATCTACCCCCTCCCCATGATAATCTCCTTTCACAGTATCAGTGGGGATTGCCTTTCCTGTTGCCTTCTCAGCCTTCCAGATGTGATTTCATTTCTCTACCAGCTTGAATTGCAGATGCATGGTGTTGGAATTCTTACTAGTGCCCTAGCCCTTGGCCTTTAGATGTTAGAGCATCCACTTTAGAAAGGTTTTATCATTCACCTGGTCTAGAGCTTCATTAATTCAATGTCCAGATATTAATATACTCTGACTTAGGAGAGGAGTGCCAAGCAGAGTGTGCTTGTGGTCTGTTCCACCTCATGGGACAAAAGCACTGCAGGTCTTCTCTCCCAGAGGCAGTCCTAACATAGCCAACTGGTTTAGTTATCCCTTCTCCACCGAAAGCTCTGCATCCTTTTAAATTAATGAAATTGACTTATTTTTGTTGATACAAAATTTGCATTCATGATAACTTCAATAATTTCAACGTCTTTTGTTTATCTGAAGAGATGCTTTTACTTACTCTGTAGCAGCAGCATCTAGACAATTCAGAGAAAAGTGGAAAGAAATTCAGTGATGCTGCAGTGAATGTAACTTACTGGAACTTGTAAATTGAAAATACAAGGCAACTCTGCCCCAAGCTACAGTATAAATTTTGGCTGTGTACAGTATCGTGCCAAATACTGATGTAATTTATCTAATTTTGTTAAAAATTTTATCTTTACCATTATTATTCTCTATGTTTAGGTAAATATTTAGTGATGGACTATGTATGTGTATATTTTAGCCTGGTCTTCATGGATTTAAAATAAGAATCTCTCATTGTGTAGACTCTGTGATTACCATTTAAGCTATCTCACATGAACTATATGTGTGTACTTTGTCCACTGGCTGTAAAGGAGTCAATCAAATAAAGGAAATAATGGAAAATCTTAGCTATCAGGTGGCAAGAGTGCACATATTGAGTAGTGGAAAATACTGCAAGTGGAAAGAGCTCTTTTTAGGTGTTGGAATAATTGTATGTTGCTTGAAGCACACGACGAGAGCAGTTTAAACAGTTATTAAAGAATGTTGCCAGATCTTATCACTGCAGTCATGCATAAAGATCAGTGATCCCCATGCAGCACTACAAAATGTGTGAATGAGGTACACTTACTAAAAATAAACCTATGGAGTGTTGTTCATAAATTGCCATAGGATACTGACTAAATGCGTGCAATCTAAGCTGCACAAAATGATCTCCAAGATTGAGTTCAAGAATGTGTTTAACTGCAGCATTATAAAGGAGCTTAAAAGAAAAAAATAGTTGCAGGCCGTGTGTCTGAGCATTCATCAATGTTTAAAAAATACTAATAAAAAAGTCATACATCAAAAAAAAAAGTCTTTAGTCAAAAAAAAAAAAAAGGCAGCGTAGTAGAATGAGAGTAGTGATGAGAGATGAGGGTCAGGCTGGGTGTGGTACAGCGGATGAATGAGGAAGTGCAGCAGATGTGCTGCATCTCCTACAAAGGAACCTGTAAAAAACACAGATGTATTTTACAGGTTTCACTTGGCGTCAGTAAATGGAAACTGATACGTCTATGAGCCTGACAAACAATCTCTACTATCTCTACTCTTCCTCAGAGTAGTTTGTTAAATTTGAAGCCACTGTAATTCTGCTTTTGCATCATTTGCAAAGAGCAGTATTGGGTCAGTTTGGCCCAAGGTGAAGTTCCTTAGCAGAAAGTCATCTTAACAGGCTAATCGGATCACCTATGACTTAGGCTGTACAACTGCCAAACTGCCCAAAATAGAGAGGGAAGGGACTATAAAAATAAATAGAAATTTAGAGCTCTTCAAGGCATCTGGCAATGAGTGAGCTTCCCACAGCAGGATGAAGTAGGGACAAAATCTTTTCCCTTTTAGAAGAATGATTTAATACATACTCTTATACATTTTTTTTTTTTTTTTTTCCCCTTGTGTCATTATACAAGCAGGATCTGTTCTCTTTCTCATAAGAAACAGGTTTGCTGATGAAGCCATTGTCACCTCAGCTTTATGTTTTGTGGCTTCTCCAAATTTTTAGGATGGTGAATAAATTGGAAGTCACATCAATTTCTTTATAGTTCACTCTTCAGTTTGACTAGGGAAGATAAAACCTTTCTCTCATCAAAAGTGTTCTTAAAATCAATAAAATTTTCTTACTATATCGAGATATTTGATTATCAGTTTCTGTATGGTTATTATTTTTTTCAGCCAAGTGTAGAAAAAGAATGATTGCAAGCATTCAAAAATGCTGCTTCAGCACTGGTTTAAGCAATTTAGGGAAACAAATGAAGCACAAAGGATTTTATTTAACAATAAATTTTCTAGAAACTTTTTTTTTCTTGAGTGACTGGCTTTCTTAGAGCAAACTCCTTTATGAGGAATTTTACAGCAATCTGCATGACCTTTAACAACTACAGTTTTTCAAAACTTTGGGAATGCCACATAAAAGTGTAAAGGAATATTCATCAGGTGGCACCTTAAGTAATACCTGATGAAAGTAACAATGCATTTTAAAACTAGAATTGATTACTCTGGGATTTATAGCATGGACTATGGTTTTGTCGTATTTTCCAATCTGAGAATGCTGTTTTGACAAAGTCAGAGAAATCATGTTGAGAACACTGATTAGACGTTTGAATTTATCCCCCTAGTGTTTGAGCACTTTTCTGTTATCTTCTGAATTTATCCTCAAAGCCAGTCTCACAGAAGTGGAAGTACTTTACTGGTGAGTCAAATGGAGGCAGGAGGATTAATGACACACCTGTGCTGTAGGCAGAAATACATTTTTTTTTTCGACCTGAGCCTCAAATTGTAAGCACTGAGAACTGTGTAGGGTAGGCAAAACAGAGCCAAGTATTTCTATCACTATAGTGACCGCATCTGTGTTGCTTTGAGTCCTGAGCTGGGATTCTCTCTTCTTACTCATTTAATTTACGTCATTATCATTTCTGCTGCTCAAGTTGTTTAGACTTGCTATACTTTAAAGTTATTACATTTAAATATTTTCCCTAATATGTCTTCCTCCTTTGCAGTTAGCTTGATTCATGGAGCTATCTGCAAATTGTCTGTAATGGTATCTGATGTTTGGGCTGCATTGCTGGTTTATGGGGAAGACAGATTGCTTGTGCTTAGCTCTGGTATTGTGCACACAATTCGGAATGATACAGCTCTAGTATTCAGCCATTTTCATGTGTTTCCATAATGGGAAATCTCTGGAATAAATGCAGCAAAGTGATGTTGGTATCCCAGGTAGTGGAGCAAGTTGTTTGACTTGAAGCTATTGCAACCTTTTGCATAAGATGCAAGAAGGATATTTTGATAAGTCATAGTGATTGCATTCCATGGCACTTCTATCAGGTGCTTTAGCCTTTTTGTTGGCTAGATTTCAATTCCATTAATGTTGAAACCTTACTACCTAACCTAGCCTTGACTCTCAAACAAGTTTTATTTTCCTTCTAATTTCCATCCTGAACAAATGTGCAGTGGAACTAATACAGTCAAGTAATCACCTTTTGGCTGTTAATAGCATGATATGTATTCAGTTCGTGTATCATTTTGTATTGTTCGGATAGTGCTTTAACAATTCAGAAAAGAAATAGATACTGAATGTATTTTGAAACTCTTATAAGGCTGTTATTGCTTTCACCTCTCAACAAGCCTCACAGCTTAGTGAAATAATTATCTGACTAGGGGTAAAAAGGTATACTTACCAAGTCATGTCTTAACAAATATAAACACATGTACTATTACGTTTCTCTTTACTTAACAAACCATGTCCAGGTAGTTTTAAATAGATTCTTGAAAACATAGGAATCCTCTTGTTAAATTTGTGAACCAAAGAGATATCTACATGCTTGTCTTGATGTATTCTTGGAGATATTCAGTTTCATCTCCTCCAAAAGTAACTAGATTAAACTTTGATGGACTCTGATTCATACATATATTTATTTACTAGACCTTTTTCCCTTTCAAATAATTAATTCTAAGGAATACATAGCTTATGCATTCTATTAAAGACTTAGAGAACTCAATGCTACTATTGAATAATTATAAATTGTAACAAATGTAATGTGACTTATATCATTTAAGATTTTTTTATTTTTTATTTTTTTTAAAAGTACGTGCATTAACTCTTCAGTTATTAGAATCTGATAGAGTTGTGTGTTTTTGTTTTTAAAGCTTTCAAATTAATGCATTAGGGGAGTAATGGAGAAGAGATGAGGTTAATTTTATTACTTGTTCAATAAAACCACTTGAACTTAAACAAAACCAGATGCGTTTAAATGGTTGGACTGCATTATTATTATTATTATTATTATTATTATTATTATTATTATTATTATTATTATTATTATTATTATTATTATTACATCTACATGTACTGGACATTACATCCAGTCACAATTTATATTTCCAAAAATTGAAACTGTTTCTTCTTTATTTCTATTAGGGCTTGCATGCTGTGGCACAAAGACTGCATCACGCTGTGCGCTATGTTCATGGTAAGCCTTATTTAATCTTTTTAAGTTATACACAGTGTAATTCCAGGGGATAAAACATTATTTTGTCAGTCTGTCAGTTGAGATTATCATAAACACGCTAATGCAACTTTAGTCTGTATCTGCTGTACAGATTTAGTCTCAAACTTCCAGTTTTGCACAATATCCGGTGCAAAATTAGTTTTAAAAATCTATGATGAATCTGATGAGGGCCTGCAATTCTCAACTGTTTTGTTCAAAAATGAAATCTCAGACAGTGCAGCACAGGGACATTTTTGTAGATAAAATACTGCAGTGGCACCCCAATTCATGACTGGTCTCCAAATGACAAGAAGAGTAACACAAAAGGCCCAGGCTAGGATGCATCAATTCCTGTTTTGTCCAGGCTCCGTGCCTGAAGGCGCCTTATCTATGCTAAGCAATTCTCCATGGCTGCCAACTCTTCAGTGCTTCTTAAAATAATTAAGTTAAAAATATTTCATAAACTCATTTTGTATAGGCAAAATAAGCCCCTGTGCTCCTCCAAAGTGGCATACATTTCTTCTGTTCCCTTTCTCCTCCAAATATTAGCAAATTACCGCTTTTATTATGGATATGACATGAAAATAAACAATCTCCTGGAATTAAGCCCCACTTTATCAAATGGTTTCCAACTATGTCCTGTTCTTTTTTGACCTGCTAAGTAGAAAATACCTTCTACTTCTGGGTTTCCTGGTGTAGGTTTTTAAATTTATGACTTTCCCCTTCCTTTTTACCGGAAGCAACTTAAATCCTTATGTGGTACCATCGCCACCCCTACCCCCATCAGTTCTCTTACCTGCTAAAGGGTCTATGCTAATCAGTGACCTCTGCCTCTAAGGCTAGAAGTTAGTAAACAGTTTTCCCTAGTTGATGGGATTAAAGTGCTAGAGGTGTGGCCCAGGCTTTAAGGGACATGGTCTTTAAATCTTCTTCCCTAATTCACTTACATTCAAGTCAGCAAATTTAAAATCTGCTTCATTGAACTGTCAAGGTAAGCACTGGAGACATTTAGCTTTTTCTTGGTGTTTCTAACAGTCCAATCACATCCATAGATGTACTGCTTCTTCCTGAATAAAAATGTAATCCTAGCGTATTCACTGGCTTCTTAATAAGCACACTTACTGATGGCAATAGTTTGTCTTGCAGGGTCTTGAACAGCCAGCAGGTTTATGTGTGCATTTGCAGATCATGACCAAGGACAAGCCCTTGCTCAATTGCATATTACATTTAACTACTCATCCCTCTTGAATAGGAATTAATGCAAGAACAAAAGCTTAACATTTGTCAGGTGTTTTAATGCTATCATTCTTCTGTCTCCAGACTTTTGGACTTTTTTTTTTTTTTTTTTTTTACACTTTTTCCTCATTCTACAAACTGAAGGTCTTTTTCCGTAGTCTCCTGTACAACACAGTGGTAGTATGGACCAGTTCTACTGTTCTCAGTGCTTGCTAGAAGTTTGGAAAGTGTGTGAGGATCTTAGCACTGACTGCAAATTAATTAGTCTGGGAGCACCAGAAAGATGGTTAATGGCTCCATTAATAATTTCACTTTCTTATAGTCTTGGTTTTAAAATAGTGGAGCAGTGTTTTCTTCTCTAAAGTACAATAAAAGTGTCTTTCAATTTTAGAGACCATCTAGGAGTAATACTTTTCAAGATTTGTAGATGTTCTCTAAAGTATAGGGTTCATAATTTTAATTTACACAATTACTGAATAAGGCTCAGCCTGGCATTGCTTAGCTAAAATATTTTTACAAGTACAAGAAATCATTGTAAACTCAAATGCCTAGTAGTTGGATTTTACCAATGCAAACTGTTTTTATCGATTAGGCAAGTCTGACAGTATTATTGTCAAGTTAATTATTATTTTTTTAAATGCATCAAGACTAGCATAAAAATCTAGATAAACTAAGCTATAGCCTCTCTGGTTTTGATGGGAAAATTAATCTTATGCTGCTGATGCTTCTCTAATGGTTTTGAAATGGTTTTTGAGGGTGTGTAAAACAACAATAAATCCCACCTATTGAAATATAGCACTTGTCACTTTTAAATCAGGGGTAGTTGTATATCTAGACCAGTATATATACAGTTATTCTGTATATTATCTAAAACATGTCCCCTAAAGGCGCTGCTGAACCTTTTTCTTTTACAGTAGTTTCATCAGTTTATGTGCTTCTCATACTGAGCTTTCTTTCTGAAGGCCCATAGTTAATTTTCAGATACCCATAGTATTTTCAATTGAATCTAACACTATTATTCAGCTTCTGATATATGGTTTATCTGATTAATGTTGTTTGGGGATTGCAATTATTTTGAACAATTTGTCTTCTTTTATCTGCTGTAATGCAACTTTTATTAGAACTCGCTTGAGGAATGCAGTTTACATCACTGAATGAACAGGACTGAAACACTGGGCAGTGTAGGAGTGGCTCCTGTACTCAGTGAATGTGGCCCTTGTTGTATGCCTGCCTTGTATCCCCAAAACGTTTCTTGTGGCAAGATGCTTTTCTATAGTTTATCTGACGTTTAGATGTAGAGCTTAGGGATATGGTTTAGTGGGGACTGTTAGCGTTAGGTCAGAGGTTGGACTCGACGATCTTGAGGTCTCTTCCAACCTAGAAATTCTGTGATTCCGTGTGATTCTGTGTTTACAAATACTATCTACAAATAAGAGTCATATAACTTCTGCAGGGTTGGGAGCTTTTGATTGCAGGTGTTCATAATTAGATTCATTTACAAAGTAGATCAAGCCAATGAAGGGTGCACAGAAAACTGACTTAGAGCTTATCAAATTAGCTAAGTAGAGCAATTAATCAGACGGACCTTAACTTGATTTGAGTTTTCTAAAGTTTCATTTTTTTTCTTTTTTCTTTTTTTTTCTTAAAAAAGACATTAAATGTGAAGCCAGCTGGGTTTGGCGGGACAGTCTCCCAGACATGCATATGACAAGGAGAGTGTCAGCAGTGGTAGTGAGCTCTCCACAATCATCATACACCTTTCAGAAACCTTCTGACCTTCCCAATGCACAGGGCAGTGTCCTGCTATGCCATGACCTGTATCTGCTTTAAAAAAAAAAAAAAAAAAAAAGCCCCAAAACTGTACAGGAAAAATACCTGAGATCTACCTTCAGTTTTTGTATCCACATACTGCAGTCCTGGCTAGTAGGGTGGGAGCTCCCTGCCATTAGCACCAGTGCTGTTACACCAGTAGTTCCAAATGGCCCAAGTTCTCAGCAAAGACAGTACAATTCACTTGGTATGAAGTACAGTATTGATATGAGGCAGAAACAAGTGTGTTTTGGTTTTCATCATTAAAAAGTTTTCTCCATGCTAAACTCTACCAATTGCCTAATTCAGTTCCCCCAGATTGTATTATTTTGGACTGAAATAATCTCTCTTCAGTGAAGTGCTCTCTGCAGCATGAATACAGTGTAGGGTGAACGCAGTATTTTATCCAAACGATAACTTGTCAGTGAAAGTGTTTAAAAGGCAACTCTTCAGAAACTTCTGATTACAGTATGGTAACAGCCGTTGAGGTGTCCTGAAAATGATGCCGTTAACAAGTTCATTTTGCTTTTAAGTAAGTTTATTTGTCTGAAGCTGTTAATAGCAGTCCTTAATTGGGCAGTTAGCCATGCTGCCTCGAAGTAAAAATGTGCCATTAGCTACAACTGATTCTTAAATAGCGGTTGCTTGTCAGCCTATAAAAATCTGGCCAACAGTGTGCTAGATGCTGGGTTGCAGAGCCAAGCTGGTGGTGGTATACGGTATTTCATTTTGTGTTGCTTAAATACAGGCTAGATCGCTGCTTAAATCCATGCAGACCAAAAACAGCTGAAACCCCCTCCTCCTCTACTCTTCTCAGTAAGAAGTAAAGGACTGCGCTGGGTTTATGCAGAGCGCACTATGTGTCCCTGGCCAAGCTCCTGGGTTTTGTGTGTGTATATAGTGAGACTTCGTGCAAATTAGTACTTCTGACTCTTGTGCAAATGGGCAGGGATGCTGTGGACCTGCTGCTCGCTATGTGTGGGCAAAACACACAGAGGTATACAGGAGCTTTAAGCTACCCTTCCATCATCGTGTGTAAAAGGCTGCCTTACTTCAATCCTGTATTGAAGAGCACAATATGCAAGTATTGGTCCCAGGAAACTGGCAAAGAAATCCACCTGGAAGAAGGGGAAGATCAATTAAGGATTATTGCTAGTCTTGACTGTTTTAGCTGAATGCTTCTTTCGTATAATGAAAATTTTGTGGACAAAATATTTCTTAGATATTGGGGAAATGCACCTAATTTTACTCACCTGTTAATCTGTATCTGTACTTAACCAAGTGAAAGGAGGCAAGTGAAAGTGTTAAATATGCTGATATGGATTTTCTTCTTAATTTGTTCACACAGACCAATGATCTTGTATTTTTAGATAGAATTTTTCTGTCTTTCACTGCAGAGAAAAAAAAAAAAGTGTGAAGTGTATTTTTTTCCTTGTGTCATTTCCTAATAAACAGCACTGGTATTTGTCAGGTTTAGCCCTGCCAAATTGGTCCAAAGCCCCATATCATTGCCACTGAATAAAGGAGATCTCTCTCCTGACACGACCTTTGCCATTACCTTTTCCTTCTCTTCAAGAGGCCAAATATTTTTTTTTTTTTTAACTACACTTGCAGTGTATCCTAAACCTTGTCAGAAAAAAGGACTGATGAGCTACCAGTCTGTGTTCCAAACCGGAGAAAGGCTCAGTATCCAAATTCAGCAATATGTTTTCTACTTTCAAAATTATGTGATTGCTATGATACACTGTTCTTTAAGGTGATTTTCATTGTTCCTTCTATGATATAACAGCTTTCTCCCCATGGGATAAAAGCTAATTACCACTCTTCTGAATATGAATTTCTGTCCTTGCATACTTACCCAGCGCCACTCACTGAAGTGCTCCAGTCTGCTCCAGTCCCCCGTGCAGTGCCAGAGAACTGTTAGTTGCACTAGCTGA